ATTGCTGAACACCCAAGGTACTGAATTCTACGAGCCCAGGGCATTCATTGTCTCTAGAAATAAACCTTAAAGTAGCAAAGCTCCCTCCTTTTTAAGTAGTCTAAAGTAGCCTTCAGGATCTTTGGTTTACCAAAGTGTAAAGCCTGCCCATTGCAGTCTCAGGAGGTTAGAGCACATTAGCTCTTCATCACCCTTATCTTTCCTTTCCCTTCCTCAAATCCACTTCTTAGAGGACAACTAGCTGTAGTCTTCACTTGGGTTTACCACGTGAAGACCACACCCTCCTTTTCCTATTCTATTTTCTGTGAAGAGTACGCCTAACAGACACGTACTCCTCACACCTCCTGCAAGGCTCACCGCTTCCACCTATACTTTACCTCATTTACAACTCATCTGTACTGCAGATTACCAACAACATACTCACCATGTCTGCGCTGGGTTTTTTTGGCAACTTCAATGTTGGATACTCACCATCTCTGTTCACAGATGCAGTCTCTTGTTTTCATAACAGCAGTGTGCAAAACACCACAGAGCCGTTTTTAACACAAAGAAAACCACACCCAGACACCATACCAACAATACACTTTGCTGACAGGAAGAGGCTTAAACCTGCCCCTTTTGCCAAATGGCTAGGTGTTAAAATTTATAAAACACTTTCCTTTACCCAACACAGGCTTGATGTAATTGACACAGCCAAACAATGAGCTGGATTTCTTGCAGGCCTCACAAAACAAGTCTGGGGCATTCCACCCAGACTCATCAAAACCCTCACAACCACAACAGTCCATCCAGCCATTTACTATGGTGCCATGGCTTGGATGCCCACTGAAACACCAAAGTCCTTTGTGGAACCGCGATCAGCCAATGATCACATCTGTGCACAAACAGCCTTGTGTGCCGTAACAACACAATCACAACCCCACATCTGCAAAAACTTGCCTCCAGGGAAACGTTTTGAGCTTTATGGCCATATTGCTAACAACAAACCAAACCAATCTGCTCTTCAAGATTAGTCAGGCCCGTCTGTTGATTCCTAAAAGCCACAAGAGTCTCTTTTACCTTTTCTTCCAATACCCCCTGTAGAAGCACCATCTCCCACCAACTATAGACTCTAGAATTCTTTGGGAGGAGAGAAAACAAAAAATGCTCAATGGCAGTCACTGTAAAGATATTCACAAGTGAGAATGGGCAAATGCTTGTATAGTTTGTCATAAAAGGATCCACCACTTTACACCTTGGCCATAAGATCCACACTACATACATATGTGCAGCAGGTGGAGTAGATAGGTGGCTATCATGTACATACAGGTCTGCTAGGACCCGGGTATCCTCCTATATGGGGTAGTCACTTGGAATTGTGACTTTTGAGCTCCCGCGGGAACCCGCCCCTGCCAAACTGCTAAGTCAGTCCCTGGCTTCATGAAAGCTCTAGGTGAGGTTCAATCTGTCCTCGGAATTCCTTGTGACCGTTCATCTGTCAAATGATAGAAAGAGTGGCAATAAGTGAAGGCAGAAACCGGCAGAAAACATGAGAGCTCTCTATAATCACATGAAGTGTGATTCTGTGGGAGCTCAAAAGTCACAATTCTGTGTGACTACCCCCTATTAGAGCATACTGGGGTCCTGGTCTTCTCATCTGGATAAGTAAATCACATGTGATACATCATGTAATTTTTTCAGTTTGTCATTATTGTCCCAAAAATCAATTACACCTATACCTCCATATCTCCTCAGGCAATACTCTTGAAGCCATTTGTCAGCAACAGAAAGGGTGTCACATAAAGTTTAATGGATGAGATTACTCCAAGCCTTTGAGTCAGTGTATGTAGTCAATTGTTGGACTGCCTTTGTTGAGCTGGACAAAGTCACAGCATGTGTTACATATGATTCAGTTAACCAGATGAGTAGATAGCTGAGCAGACCTGTATGTACATGAGAGCCATATACTCTGAATCATTCTCCCATTCACACTTGGGAATAAGGTATAATTAGGGGATACCACGTTTCCGGGTGCCTCCTAGTGAATGGTACCGAAGGAGATAGGTGTGACAGCTCCAGCCCATTGTTTGCAAACTAATCGCAAACTGAGAAGTTGCCTGCAGGACGATGGGTGAAGGTCGACGGTTCGGCTGTACTCTTTCAACCGTGTAGTCTCGGATTGGATAACGAAGAATCCGATGATTAAAGATAGTACTTCATTCGGTAGCCACCCAGTTGTATGTTTGTCGTTTGGTCGAGGTGAGCTGTTTGACATCTTGTTCTTGGCTGAGTTGTGAAGGTGAGTGGGTTTGACTTTTATGAGTTCACCATGAAGAGCTAAGATCCTGGTCACGAACTGAAGTAAGTATG